CCCTTCCTTCTGCTTCGGAGCCTCCTTTATTCTCTCCTTTTGTATCAGTTGCTCTTTCCTCCCCAACAGCTTAGTCCTTTTATTTTATCCTTAGTTTCCCTGGACCTGGCATTTCAGCACGCCTACTCTCCAGGGTCCTCTCCTCTGCCCTCACACCATCAGACTTTTCCTTGCAGATCATCCAGGCAGGCTTTGAGCCACAGAGCAGATTGAATTGCCCAGAGGGCTCCTGAGATGTGAAGACCTCTGGTAATCTCAGAGTGATCCACAACTGAATGAAACACTTGAATGTGAAGTGTTAAGGCTAATTGTGGGTATTATGAAATTATGATTGATCCAGTATGGATCTTTTCCCTTGTAGGGCAATTTCTAGACCCATTCAGTCACCCAGAATGGCCTATTTGAGGCCGGACCCTTAGGGAACAGTTGCTCAAAGTGTGATTCCCCAACCATTGTGATCTAACCTCATGGGTTGCTTATTAAAACTGCAGCTTCCTGGGCCTCACTTGACTAGTAAATCAGAATTTCTCACAGCTGGCAGGCAATTTGAATTTAAAATATTCTCCTTGGCGATTTTTAAGTTCACTAAATTGTGAGAAACTCTGCCATTGTGCTAACAATCATCTAAAAATCATTATCCTCTAAAAACCACTATAATTTTCCCCTCTTTATATCACAAAGAATTTTATTTATATGTACCTTTAACTTGTGCAAGTGTTAGATATTAGATATTATACTGAAGAATTTAGCAACAATATTCAGCAAATATTCTACTATTATACATAAGCCATGGAGCTATACTCTCTTGACTTGAAAAAGATAAGGTGAATTCTCCAACCTACGTCCCTCTTTTAAATGCTTCCATGTAGGGGGAGTGACTCATAGGCAACAAGGAGCACCTTGCTTTTTAAAAAAAAATTTTATTTATTTTTAATTTAAAGATATTTGCTTTATAATACTGTACTGGTTTCTGCCATACATCAACATGAATCAGCCATAGGTACATACAAGTGCCCTCCCTCTTGAACCTCACTCCCACCTCCCACCCCATCCCACCCCTCTAGGTTGTCACAGAGCCCTGGTTTGAGTTCCCTGCATCATACAGCACATTCCCACTGGCTGTTTTACACACATGTTGGTGTATGTATATCATGCTTCTCTTCCATCCGTCCCACCCCCTTCTTTCCCGCCACCCCCATGTCCATGATGTCTGCATGGACATTATACCTGCATATCCACTACTGCCCAGTAAACAGGTTCATCAGTATCATCTTTCTAGATGCCACATATATATAAAATGGAAAATTACTCAACACCTTTTTAATACATTGTGTATTTCATGATGCTTCTAGGAAATGGCAACCCACTCCAGTATTCTTGCCTGGAGAATCCCATGGACGGAGGAGCCTCGTAGGCTACAATCCACGGGGTCGCAAAGAGTTGGACACGACTGAGCGACTTCACTTCTTCACTTCACTATTGTTCAGAGAGGATCTGCATTTATATAATTTTACATAAAAAGTTTAGTTGGAAAGTTTTCTTTTTGGCCCTTATGTTAGTATACAGTTTCCTATATATGAACCATATCTATGTAGAATCATGTCTCTTGATATTACATATACCTACATATGCATATATCTTTATGTAGAAATCTATCCACTAGTCATATCATCATATTTTCTCCTATGTCAGGGACTTTATCCCTGAGACATCAGTTCAGTTTTCTTCAATTTTCATGTTCTCTGGTGACTGTGGGGCAGTTCAGAGTTTGGATTAATGACAAACCCAGGCCACATTCCTATTACTTTTTCTGATGGGGGTTGAGGGGACAAAATCCCATTATAGGCTACTGTCCCTGTGATATAGCCCGACTCAGAAAGCATTTGATCTATCCTTTTCTTATAGCACTTATCGCTGATCTTGCATATTCTTATTTTTTTACTTGCCTTATCTCACTTAGTAGATTTGAAATTCTTTAAAGCAACATCTCTGTCAGATTTATCTGTGTATTTTTCACAGTACCAGTGAAACTGGCAGGCCCCAAATTGATGTTTGTAAAATGAATGAAAGCAGATGATTAATTATACTTATTTCCTATTAATATTCTGGATTTTATTTGGCTTATGTGAAGAAAATTCACATTAAGGAAGGAGTCTAAGCTAGAGATTTTATAAGGAATACTATCTTTCAGAATGCAAACCCCACCACCCCACCCCCAGACCTTTTACTCTATAACTAATAAAAGACTGGTGAGTTCTTTCTGAAAAAACTGTTTAAGGTCCCTAGTGTTTGTCTTTACTAACTCATAAGTTGTTAACTCTCAAATATTAAACTAGCAACAAACCAGAGTTCCTTTTCTCACTATTTATAGGAACTAGGAATTTAGGTTGCTGTTTTTTTTTCCCCCTCCCAAGTATATTGATCATGTAAGAGAAACACACACCACACTGGGAATGAAATATGTAAATAAAAAAATGCATACACAGCACAAAAGCTGTATTACAAAAGCTGTAATAATTTCTTATCAGATATTATTTTGACCAACACCTCAGCTTTGAAACAGACTCTGTAACAGATGTTTTAGTGTGTATGTATATTGAAAAAAATGGAAAAATCAGATCAGCGCAAACACTATTTGTATATATGTATGAACGAATGTAAAACGAAATTGTCAAGTTTTTCTTAATATTAAAAACGACACCAAGAAAATGATATAAAAAATATATACCCTTGGAACTAGGACCAAAAATTTGACAACGTCAACACACTGGGATGGGGCGAGTGGAGGGGTAAATGAGAATTCATTTCTCAAAGGAGGGAAACTGGAGACCGGGTTGGCCTGGGGTGGGTGTGACTCACATTTTCGGTTAATCTGAATAAACGGGACCGAAGCAGCACCAGGCATCCATGCTAGCTCCGGGCTCCCGGCACGCACCGTCCGCTCCGGGTGCGCCGCCCCAGGCCCGCCGAGCGCCAGCCGGGCTGCTGCCTGCGGGGAGGGAGCGCCGGGCGGGGGCTGATTGACGGGGCGCGCGGTCAGGTGACCCCGGGCGCCACGTTCCCGGAGCCCAGCCTGCGGTGGCCGCCTGGGCCGGGCCGGGGCCGAACCCGGAGCCGAGAGGACCTGATCTCCCGGAACAAAGTTGCCGGCCCTGCGGTAGCCGGGGCGGGAGAGCCGGGGGGAGCCGGACCTGCTGGGCGCCCCTCTACTGAGGAGGCCAAACCCGTGTGCCCAGGCGGGAGCCGGTTCCCAGGAGGGCGGCGGCGCGCACCCCGCGGTGCTGCGCCCTCCCCGGCCTCCGGCGCTCCTTTCCCCGCTTCAACAAAGGGGCCGGCCGGCGGGCGGGTGAGGGGAGGAGGAGGAGCCGGGGGCGCGAGCCGCCGGCGCACCAAGTTGTGGAGTCGCGTTTCCTCGGAGGAGGGGAGCGGGCGGCCGTGGCGGCCCGCGGGCTTTCTCCCGCCGAGGGGCGAGGAGGAGCCTCCGGCTCCCGAAGCCGATTGGGGAATCTCGGGGAGCGGTGCCCTCCCCGCCGCCACCCTCCTTCGGGGTCATTTCTGCAGACGGAAAACTCTCCAGTGTTTGGCAAACTTGCTGCCTGCGCGCCCGTTCCAGGTTCGCACTGGGACTGTTTTGTTTTTGGCGGAACTACGGGGCAGGAAGATTGCACAAGTTAGGGGCGTTTACAATCGAGTGTCAAAAAAAAATTTTTTTTTTCTTTCGGATCTGGTCTGGTTTTCCATATTTCCTTAAACAAAACAAAACAAAACAAACAAACCAACCAAAAAAACCCGCACCACAAAGCCCACGTTTGCACACACACCCGCGATTACTACGCCTGAAACACCTCCGAGGAGACCCTGGCCGGCTTGGGACTCGGCAGCGGCGGCGGCGGGCTGGCGAGGCGGCCCGCGGGGCATGGGAGCAGGTAAGTCCGTGCATTATTGAGCCTCGGGCCGGGCAGTGTGACCACAGCCTCGGGGACGCGGGACGTAGGATGGAGGAGGATGGAGTTTTCTGCGACTCCTGTGCCCAGGATCAGCGTCCCGAGCTCCTTCTCAAGGCTGAGCCTAAGATGTAACCAACTTTTGCGTGCACTCTTCTTGGAACCTCAGTGCAGCTCCCCGCCCCGAGGCAGGGAATTCCAGAAACGTGGGGGAGAGCTCGGGCTCGGAAGTCCTCGGAATCCGTGTAGTATTTCCGAACGACCCGAACTCCTTCGACTGGTTCTGGGCAGCTTCTTGACTCCCTGAGTCTTTCTCCTGGCTGGGGTGAGAGGGTCGTGCCTCCTCTGGTTTTCCATATTTCCTTAAACAAAACAAAACAAAACAAACAAACCAACCAAAAAAACCCGCACCACAAAGCCCACGTTTGCACACACACCCGCGATTACTACGCCTGAAACACCTCCGAGGAGACCCGGGCCGGCTTGGGACTCGGCAGCGGCGGCGGCGGGCTGGCGAGGCGGCCCGCGGGGCATGGGAGCAGGTAAGTCCGTGCATTATTGAGCCTCGGGCCGGGCAGTGTGACCACAGCCTCGGGGACGCGGGACGTAGGATGGAGGAGGATGGAGTTTTCTGCGACTCCTGTGCCCAGGATCAGCGTCCCGAGCTCCTTCTCAAGGCTGAGCCTAAGATGTAACCAACTTTTGCGTGCACTCTTCTTGGAACCTCAGTGCAGCTCCCCGCCCCGAGGCAGGGAATTCCAGAAACGTGGGGGAGAGCTCGGGCTCGGAAGTCCTCGGAATCCGTATAGTATTTCCGAACGACCCGAACTCCTTCGACTGGTTCTGGGCAGCTTCTTGACTCCCTGAGTCTTTCTCCTGGCTGGGGTGAGAGGGTCGTGCCTCCGTGCGCTCTGGGCCAGTGATCCCCAAGAGGGGACGTGGCTTCCTAGGAGAGCCTGTCACACACACACACCTCAGCCCCGGGAAGGCGGGGCCCCGGAGGTGTCCGCCAGGACCGGGTGGGGAGACGTTCCCAGCCATCCGCCTGGCAGGAAACGTGCTCGACCTCCGGGCCGTTGCTTCTCCCGAGGGTGGGGCTTTGGAGAGGTGACAAGGAGCGCTCAGTTGGTGCGTAGTCCCGCGCGACTGCCTCTTCTGGGGTCCCGGATCCTTGGCATCTCTTGCGGCAATTGGTAAGGTAATTCATGTCCCTCCCTGTGTGGCTTGGGGTCCGAGGCACTGGTTGCCCAAGGCCCCTTTAGGAAACCGACACGGCACAAATTTTAGGCTGTGAAACTTTTAGAAGGCACGCTGTTAAAACTGGATTTTTTTTTTTTTTTAAGCCAAGCCCCAGATTACGAAAGGGACTGATTCCAGGGTTGTTTCAAGGGGAGGAGAGAATGTGCCCGACTTGCAGGAGCCAGAGGACTCGCATTTTGTTTTCCACTGAACTGGGGAGCCCGGGTCTAACCTGGGTCTCACTGCCCTCCCCCGCTCCCGGGATGGCCCGGGAGAGTCTCCTCTTTGCCAGCCCCCAGGTGACCTGGGTCACCGGGGCCTCGCGGGTTGTAACCCCTTGTGGGGGAGTGAACCGAATTCTGGGAAGCCCGGATCCCAGGGTCCGGGCGGGAGCTTGCTGCTCCTGGGAACCCGGCAGTAGCCGCATCTATTCCTTTGTAATTTGCACGGGCCTCGGGAGTCGGGTGGGCGCCTCTGGGCTGGTTGCTAGTGGACCCGGGGGACCCGGGAATCAGGCGACAGCTGCAGGAATGTGGAGCTCCTGGGTGCTTCGGCTTCCAGAGCACCGGGGGGGCGAGGACCACGGTTTACGCGGAGCCATTCCCCGCCCCCTGGACCAGTTTCTGAGACCCAGAAGACTTCGTTTTAACTCTCCTTCAGGTGTTTAAGTGAAATTGATCGCCACCGTAAACAGCATTAACCACAACTGTATGAACTTCCCTTGGAGCGCTTCCGAGAATGAATGGCAATTCTTGACACTGGGCGGTGTCTTTTACTAAGTTTCCTACGGAGCCTCAAACTCTGGCCCCCGGGCTTTCTTTTCCACTATCTCTAGCATTCTTAGGATTGTGTAAACGAAGGAGTACTTTTTGCCCAAGGACCTACACCATATTTCCATCATAATTGTACATTGTTGAAAATGCTTGTATTCTTACATCTTGTAATTTCCAAATTAAAAAAAAATTAAAGCTTGAGTTTTGCCTGTAAGGCCATCCCCCGTCCTTTTAACCCAGGTTTATCGTGTTGGCTTCTGGTTCCCTCTGACAGCCAGAGAACTTTTGAAGAAAGAACTGGATGTAGAGTTGAGGGTATTGGTTTCAGCGAGAAAGAGCTGGCTAAACTTTGCAGAACTTCATTTTGGGGAAACAGAACCTAGAGCAGAGGTAACAATAAATTATAATTATAAAGCAATATCTCATTCTTTTATTCGGTTTGTCACCTAGCTTGGTGTGGAAGATGGTGGTGTTTCCATAGTCTGTATGTGGAAGTGGAGGGTCGAACGGAGGTGCCTTGTAATGAAACTTTGATCCTGTCTTCCGGCAACCAATAATGACTTGCTGCCAAATGTTACTCAACTTGGAGACCCCTGCCAATTAGTGGCATAAAGTATCAGTCAGTGGTAATGTCACTGTTAAAATTTTGGTCATCTGCAGTTCTCCCAATTTGCCCAGTCTTTCCTTGTCCTCTGATCTGCCTTACTGCTGAATCTGTGTAGCCTGTAAAGGATTTTGATTATCAAGAGAAAATCTGAGATTATCTTAAGGAGCTGGCAAAGTAAAACTTTATGATGAAGGAATATTAATGTGCAGATGAAACACAGTTCTGTGCAAGCAATTTACTTTTCTCTTTTGTGGGATGGGAAAAATCTTTTGAAGACCTTGGCTAAGACCACTTATGAAAGAGAGAATTAGAAATATATTTCAAGGGAAATAACTAGTTGCTTTCCAGTAAGAGAATTTTTTGCTGGGAAAAGCTGATTTTCATAGTAAAATTTTGTGTGCATTCTTCTGAACAAAATTTTTGGTACTCGAATGTAATAAAATACCTTTAAGTATTTAGCAAATCTTTGGCAGGTATTTAGCCCCCAAAAGGAACCTAATTACATGATAATCCATAAAGTACAATAGTAGTGGACAGTATAAAAAGTGAAAAATGTTTTTATACTCTCTCAAAATCTCGCAGATTCAGGCTGATGATCTAACCCATATATTTCTCCCTTTTGGAGAGAAAATTGTTCCTAAAGCTTTAGCAATTCATCAGTTTTCATCTACCTCAAACACTTTAACATTTAAAACCTGTTTCTAAGGTGACCTTGACCTCTTTATTATTAGAATATACCCTTTTCCTAACTACTAAGGAAAAGAAATTTTATATTTTATGTATTTCTATTGTTATGAAATATATTATAAAACAATGTGGTGTGTCCTTGAATGTTGTATATTATAAACATAATATGTAAGAACTTCTAAATAGTGAATAGATACGTAAAATGAACTGTATTACAAAATAGTAATGCATATGATGTGTCCTTGAATTAAATAATTGAGTTGTCTAAGCCTAGCTAACAATAAACTCTGGTTTTGATATCTATTATAATATGTGAGTTAATGTCTATTATTTGTAGATTAATACTTGGATGTCTTGACTGTTATTTTCCCAATTAAATGATTGATTTATTTAGCTGGCATTCGAGGTACTCATAAGGGGATGTTAGGGTATAGCCAAGTTGCTGAACTTAAACTTGGATTCTGATTCTGTTTGGGTTGCTTGGGCATTGTGTCCCAGAAAGTTCTAGGACAGTGCATGTCTAATTGATGACATTTTAAAAGAAAAGTGGTACTGCAGGGTAGAATCCACAATTCTGTAAATTCTCATCATGCCTCGACTCTTTAATTACTAAAAGATTAAAATTATTTTGAGTGATGTCTATTCTCAGGAGAATTCACATGATGGGTTTTCCAAAATAAAATCTGTGTCAATGGATATAACATGTAACTGTCCAGATTTACATATAATCCAGGCCATTCCTGAGATCAGACTTTTTGGTTATCTCCACGTGTATATCTCAAACTCCATCAATCCAAATTACACTCCTTGTTTCTTCCTTCAGATTCTCATGCTTCAGTGTTCCCAACTCATTGAATGTCTCAATTGCACAGGCCAAAATTGGGCAGTCATTTTGTGCCTCAGTATCCTGAAACTCTCATATCTAGTTAGTTCCCAAATCCTATTGGCCTTCATTTAATATCTAATAGCCCACATGTCCACCCACTTCTTTCTATCTGCACTTATTTAGGCCACAATCATATGTTGCTTCCCAGCTTAAAATCATCTGCTGTTTTCCCACTGCTCTTCGGAGAAATAACAAAATCCTGTACAGTCTGTCTTTACAGCCCTACCCCTGGTCCTGTCTGCTTTACCTAGTTCGACAAATCCCTCTCCTCTTAGGCTCCAGAAGCACCTGCCTTTGCTCAGGTTTTTGAATGCTCTTTGATGCTTCCTGTCACTTTACATGGGAGATTCTTACCTTTTCCTCTTCCCATCTCTTATCCTTGAAGGCTTGGCTCAAATGTCACATCTTTAAGAAAGCCTTCTTTAATTGCCCAGAGCAGGTCAGATTCCTCTGCAGTATGCTCATATTACTCTATGCTTCTCCTTTGTACTTTTGTAACTTAGTAGTAGTATAGTGAAATACTCCATTATATAATTAATTACTTGGTGTCTGTGGATTTCAAACTAGTATAGGTTTTGTCTCTTTGATAATCATATTTCCATTGCCCAGATCAGTGCATTATACTTGAAAGTGAAAGTGTTAGTTGCTCAGTCATGTCTGACTCTTTGCAACCCCATGGACGGTATAGCCTGGCAGGCTCCTTTGTCCATGGGATTCTCCAGGCGAGAACACTGGAGTGGATTGCCATAGGCCCCAAATAAGTATTTGTTGAAGGATTACTGTATGAAACCATATATAATGTGCTTGTGTGTGTGCTCAGTCGCTTCAGTAGTGTCTAACTCTTTGTGACTCCATGGATTACAGCCCACCAGGCTCCTCTGTCTGTGGGATTTTTCAGGCAAAGATACTGGAGTGGATTGTCATGCCCTCCTCCAGGGGATCTTCCTGACCTGCAGATTGAATCCTAGACTCCTGTCTCCTGCAGTGGCAGGTGGTGTCTTTACCACTGAGCCACCAGGAAGCCCACATGTAATATATGTACATATATTTTAATATTTATAGTCATATATATTATACATCTATGATATATATTGTGGTTATATATTACATCTGTATGTAATATGTTATACATAATATATATGTCAGCATATATTACTATATTACAACATATTAATATAGTCTTGTATATTTTTAAAAATCCATGTTTTTCCTTTTCTCTTTAGGTATTGATGTTGATAATTATAGAAAATTGAAAGTCTTTAAAAGAGGATCTTGTCAAGCCTTTGGATTGTACTGAAGCGCAGCTAAGATGGCCAAGTATGGAGAACATGAGGCCAGAGCTGACGATGGGCAGAATGAGTTCAGCGACATCATTAAGTCCAGGTCTGGTAAGTAGTGGAAGCTTCAGAAGATGGCTGATTTTTGTTCATAAGCTACAGAGGAGACATAGGATTTGGTTTGTTTTGCACTGTCCTTAGGAGACAAACTTCTTTTGAGAAGCAGAAATCTGACGAATGCCGATGGCTCTGTAAAAGGGAACGCAGCATCTCTGTGTGTGCTGTGCTTAGTCGCTCACTCGTGTCCGACTCTTTGCAGCACCCTGGACTGCAGCCGGCCGGGCTCCTCTGTCCATGGGCCTTCTCCAGGCAAGAACACTGGAGTGGGTTGCCATGCCCTCCTTGATATCTCTGTGTATTCTGTCTTAATTTCTCAATCCATCTTGGTCTCCTGGTATGTTGATTGGCATTGCTTGGTGAAACTGCTGCCTGGTAGCTGATAGCTGTTCATTTTTAAGAAGCCTCTTGAACATAAAAATGCAGCTTAAAAAATGATGCTTTAGGTAGGAAATGCTGTGGTTTCTGATGAGGTGGGTAGTCCTCCTGAGATTTGCTTTCATACACCCTCTCCCCCATCCCATTTCTAACCAGTGCTAGGCCAGTGTTTTTCTACCTGTGCTTCCCTTTTTGAAGCATCTTAGAAACTTTCTCTAGGTACACTTTTACCTAGGTTATCTAGTAAGCTAGATTAAGACAGATGAATGGTTTTCATTGAAGATCTAAATTGATGACATAAGGATACCACTCCCTCCCCCAGTCTTTTTATATAACCAAGTACTCTACCACTCTGGCTGTATAACTGAATCAACTGGGGAGGGTTTTTTAAGTAGAGATACGTTGGCTCCACTCCAGACCTACTGAGTAAAAGTTTTGGTATTTTTAAAAAGCATCAAATGTGATTCTGAGATAGACTCTATGGGGAGATATTTTTGAGCAGCCAGGACCTGAGTTTTGAAAATTACACAGAACTTGACCCTGGGTGTGAACACTATACTTAAGTAACTTTGAGAGTTACTTTGGGCTATAAACTTAATACCCAGTGTCACTTTAAAACCAAAAAAGGAACCTCATGTCTGTTTTTGCTATGTGAACCATCTTTATATTATGTTAGAAGGTTGTTTTTTATTGTATGAATCTGCAGAAATATGCACTGAAAATAGGCTGTAAATTAATAGAGATGAGGGTTTCCCTGGGGGCTCAGATGGTAAAGAATCTGCCTGCAATATGGGAGACCTGGCTTTGATCTCTGGGTCAGGAAGATCCCCTGGAAAAGGTAATGGCAACCCACTCCAGTGTTGTAGCTTGGAGAATTCCATGGACAGAGGAGCCTGGTGAGCTACAGTCCATGGGGTCACCAAGAGTTGGACATGACTGATCTACTGACACACACACACACACACATTTAAGGTATATTTCCCTTCATGGCCCTAGTGTTGGTTGGTTGGTAAAGACTGGTTATTACAGTCTTGGCTCTAAATGTGTAGCCTCTACTGTGTAGTTTGAAGGATCTTTTAGGGGATACAGCTTAACATCCTATTTTAAAGTATGCTCTGAGAAAGTTTAATGCCCCCTAAAGTTTGTCTTGATTTAAATGCTTTAGTTGTATAAAGTACTATGTTGATGTAAGGGATTACTAATATCTTCTAAACAGTACAGAATGTATGTCCAGAAAAATATAAATGTACCAAGGAGGAAAATGACAGTGAGACAATTTAATGTATCCATGCTTGTCATGTTCTATAAATTGTGAGGAGTTGTGTTCTTAAATAGTTTTCTGAGTCAACCACCATGGTAAGACCTTTGATATTTATAACTGTACTTTAGCCATGTCCATAAAAAAGTAATTATATAAGTTTAAAAATACGTGTTATATATGATGAGTACACATAACTTTTAAACTACTCTTTAAATTAAAAATGATCATTTCAAAAGACTGACTATTCTCATACACTATTGGGGACAGTTGGGGGGAACTTATTAAGTTTTTAACGTATGCATTCCAACTGGCCCAGTACCTCTAATTTGGAGTTTTGTTTGGAAGTCACAGAAATATACAAGCAAAAAGTTGATCATAGCATTTTTATTACAGAAAAAAAAACTAGAAATACCATAAAAATCCAATACTGAGGATTGGTTAAATCATAATTTCCCAAAGCATTTGAAACAAGCCTAAGTTCTAATGTATAAGTTGAAAAAGGATGTCACAGGCAAATAACTTTAGGAAACAATGGTTAACCTATGCTGTTTCTTTAGTGTAGGGCACTTGACCAAATCATATAGCATCTCAGTGGAGCTAATTACGGTGTATTCATAAAGTAAAGATTATACATTCATAAAAATGTTATGATATGTATATATATGAACATAGAAACATGTTCTTGATGTTGTTATATAAAAATTATGTGCAATATGAAATCATGTATGTGAAAAAATTTTTTTTCCCCAATAAAGTTCAATGGAATGTACACAAAAATGTTAATGCTGGTCATCCTGGCATTTGGGGATTATTATTTTTCTCTTTTTCACTCATATGCACTTTAAAAGCTTTTCAATGAGTCTGTATTACTTCTTAAAGTATTTCTAAAGTATTCTTAAAAATCTCAAATTGCTTCAAGTGTTTTGATGCCAAGGTGATGACTGTTACTTTCTTTTTTAGTTTCGATGGCTCCTACTTCAAAAAGCATTGAAAACTTAGCTGTTGCATAGCTGAGATCTGAATCACATTCTTTTGGCTGGATTATGTTGCAAAAGGCAGTAGATAAATTTGGATTTGAATGGGCCTGTTAATTTCAATCTTGCTTTCTGAAAGTCAAAGGAATCATATACAAATAATGCATATTCTCCTATAGGAGAATTTTGATTCAAATATATTTCTGTGTTTCTACCTTTTGAGGGTCTAGCTATGGTGGAGGGGATAGAGATTGGGGTAGGGAAGACCTGATGTTGAGATTATACTGATAAACTTTTGTCTTGGTTCATGAAGATTTATCTTGTTCCTTCTCAAATCCTTAAGTTTGGACAGTCTAAAAGCCTGGCTTCATAAAAGTATTGGTGCATTTTATGTTAAGGTATTAGGATCATTTATATTGCCCTCATTCAATTTTAATTTGCTTTATGCAGTGTATGAGGTTTAATAATTTTTAAAGTAGTTTCCACCAACTAAACAGAAATCTGAAATATCAAGAGTAGGTGATGAAATATTTCATGAATATAGAAATCACATATTTCTTAATGATTGTAATACATTTGTCTTGGATTTGAGTGAATTTTAGAAAAGAACTTGAAAGAATATGACCTTTAATGATTCAAGGTTTGGAATTGGGTAGAAGTAAGTCTTTCCCTAACTTAAAGACATGCAAGTCAAATTTGCCTGTCATTAATCAGAAAAGAACTTGAAAGAATATGACCTTTAATGATTCAAGGCTTGGGATTGGGTAAAAGTAAGTCTTTCCCTAACTTAAAGACATGCAAGTCAAATTTGCCTGTCATTAATGATAGCCAGAATTAGTGAGCTTCAGAAAGTTTTACAATTTATTAAGTATTTTAAGTGTAGGTCAAGAGTAAGTTTTTTTTTTTTTTAAAGTGAAATATGTTATCAATGGAGTCTGTGGTGCGTAAACTTCTGCTTGGAACATTTTAAATGTGAAATAATAAAATGGTTTGAGATATGTGTAAAATCAAAGAATAGCCTCACTGCTATTTTATTCTATCAATAGTGACACTTTAATGCCAGTAACATAGAATAAGTCAACCTTTTCTGTTCTTCTCAGTACTGTTCTGGTAAGTTTTAGCTCATAGCCCCGTAAAGAGGGTAGACCTCAGGGCTAAAGACTGCCAGCTAGCTCCTTGTGCGGATTTTGACTAGTAGGGATTAGAATCACAGATTCTCACATGGGAAGGGGCCGTTTGTTGAATGAATTAGTTGGTAAAACTCCACGTTGTTGTATGATTCAAAACATTCTTGAACAGCCTTTAGGCAGGAAGCCTGAGTGTAACATTTTTATCATTGCTTCCTTCACTTTTTCTCTTCTTGTGTAATTCTGACCTAATTGTGGATGGAACCTGAGAGGTCCTGTTGCCTGGCCATGCCCTTGTGTACCCAGCATCTTCTTGCACACCTCTAGTAATGGGATCTCACTGATTATGATCATTCTAGCAACTGACATTTATTGAATACATGCAGCGTGCAGATGTGGTGCTCAGAGTTTCATCCTCACAGTGACTGTTTTACAGATGACAGACATGAGCCGCACAGAAGTAATTTGCCAAACTGGCCTTCTTTCTATTTCTGCAGAGACCCAGCCATGCCTGCCTGAGGGCCTTTGCACATCCCTCTTTGCCTGTCTTTGCCTGATGGGCTCCTCTTCTTAGGTAGATCTAGGCTTTAGTATCACCTCTGAGAAAACTTGCCTGCTGACTTTAGGAAGTAACTCTCCCAGTCATCTTTTTGTTGTTGTTGTTACTGTTTATTTACAAGACTTTCCTGCTCATCCTGTGATTAAGAATCCGCCTTGCAGTGCAGGAATGTGGGTTCGATCCCTGGTTCAGGATCTCAGGGTTTTCCCTGGTGGCTTGGTGGTAAAGAATCCACCTGCTGATGCAGGAGATGCGGGTTCGATCCCTGGGTCAGGAGGATCCCCTGGTGAAGGAAATGGCAAGCGGCTCTAGCATTCTTGCTTGGGAAATCCCACGGACAGAGGAGCCTAGCAGGCTACAGTCCGTGGGGTCACAAAAGAGTCAGACATGACTTGGTGACTAAACAACAACACTGGGAACTGAGATCCCACCTGCTGTGGAGCAGCTAAGCTCGACCGCCACAGCTAGAGTCTGCGCGATGAAAAATCCCACGTGATGCAACGATGACCTGGCACTTCAAAGAAATAAATATTTAATTATTTGGCTGTGCCAGGCCTTAGTTGTGGCACCAGGGATCTTGAGTCTTTGTTGGCAGCATGCAGAGTCTTTTAGTTGTGACATGTGGGATCTAGTTCTCCGACTAGGGATCGAACCGGGCCCCCTGCATTGGGAGTGCAGAGTCTTAGCCAGAGGAC